TAAACTGCTTAATTCCGCCTCTCCTGTGGAGTGAGGCAGTTACATAGGCCGTACTATTAGGCGTGTTTCTCGTCGAATTCCCGAACATCACCCTGCAAAGTGGTTAAGTAAACAACAAACAAAATCTATTCGTAGCGCTATTCTATCTCATCTTGTGGATACAGAACACAAGATTGATGTTAACCAGGCTTTCAGAGTCATTTTAGGCATACCAACCAACAAATCTCAATTTCGCCTTAAGAGTTCGACTACTAAATATTGTTGAGGCTGGCTGTTGGAATCCACATTAAGAAGCCTAATTTATGCGTGCAAAATAAGCTAGTTCAGACACTCTCCTTACCTTGGCCATCTAGGTTTGAATGATCCTCAATTTTTGTAGAAATTTCCCTAATTTTAGTTGATATTCCATTTGCTATTCCATTTTTTATGCTTATTATAATTTAAGCATCTTTAATGAACTGTAATTCCATTGTGATCTTACTTTACAAATCGATATTATTTAAAAAAACACTAATATTGTTATTGACTACTAATCTAGAATATTCTATGTATATAAAGTTGTATATATAATTGTAGAGGAATTTATCGAAAAGGATATTCTCTGCTGGCTCAATTGTTTTGTGTTTTTTAGATGACATAGATAAGATGGTATATATGTATGCATACATATGCTGAACTCATATTATTGCATATCAATAATTAATCGGGTTTTCATGTTGAATATAGGTCAATCGTTTTAACAAGTTCTTCTCTTGCTTTATTTTTCTTGACACAAACCAGCACTATTTTGTCAGAGTGTGCGTCTAAATAAATAAACGACTGCTCTTTGGCACTTATTGGTTATAAGCTTATCTGTTCTCTTCCGTCGATGTGTATTCTATCTAATACAAGATGTTTCAGAGTAGTTATCGCAGCTAAATTCAAGTGGTGTGGATAGTTTGTAAGCACTCGTAGATATCGTAGATATGCCCTTCTTTCTTTCTGTCCTTCCAATGTAACTGCTCCCGCAGATACATGTAAATTTGTATATACAGTTGGAGTTGTTAACATGAGAAGGATATCTATCGATTTTTGATTGCACCAGAGAAGAGCAAGTTGTTCGATAGACAGGAACGAGCTTAGCTAGCTTCAGGATAGGCTATGGTTAGTGATGTACTCAGCCTTCTGTTGATCATCGCTGCAATGTTTTCACCTTTATAATCAAGCTGAATGTAGATTGGCTTTTTACCCACTGTGATTTGTTTTACATTTTTTGTGACTTCAGATCTTCCATACTTGTTGATGAACCTTTGAGGGTACGTACCCATTGCTCTTCAATATCTTTTAAAAAAAGATCAAATTCTTCCTCTAATTTCTCTATAGAGCATATATTCTCTTCGCTCTATAGTACAGAGTCTTGACTAGTCCGCGTTTAAAGCGGACGAAAAAGTATTAGTAGTTCTTGTAGTTTGACATTGTCTATGTCGTCAATAGCAGTGTATTGGATCTCAGCTTATTTACTACTACTGCTGGTGATGATGACGTCAACGACGACGACTGATCCTTCAGGTGGGATTGTGTTCTCTTACCTGAGATTTATGGCTTAATTATGACGCTTTCATTGGCCTTTAACAGATGGCATCTTCACAGCTTACTTTCAGTGCATAACACAAGTTTTAATATATATAAATCTATGCACTTGCCCAGTTAACAGATCTTTCTTCTATATATATACATGCCATCGTCATTAGTTATTACTGTTATTATGATTATTATTATGACTATGATTGCTCCCTTTTTAGCAACATCTTTCTTTTTGTCCAGAAAGATGTGTAAACTATTTTTTTTCATATTCTTCTCCCACTCCTCCTCCTTGTTCTTGTTCTTCTTCTTTTACTCTTATTGATCTGTGTTTCTTTTCTCTACTACTACTGAGTCACCACCACTTCTTGTTTATTGTTGTCGTTTTTATAGTTCTGGTTTCGTTTCTCTCTCATTCTTTTTTATGTGTCAAATATCTAGCTTATTGGGTCTTTGAATGGAGTTTTTTTTTCTCTCTCTCTCTCTCTCGATTATTTGCCTCCTCTTTCACTATCTTCTGCTTTTCTATGTGTACTAATTTCTATGCTTTTGAACTTGTTTATTTATCTATTTATTTATTGATTGATTAAATTATTAAAACAAAAAGCCTGGTACATTATGGGCACTAAGAGAGAGATATGCTACATAGTTTGTGCGCGGGGGTTGGTTTGGGATAATTCTCGTAGCAGATAGCAGTTATCTTATGTGGGGTCACTGCTAACCCTTTGACTTGTGTGTGTATGTGTGTGTAGACGTGATATATCCAGCCGGTTGTTGGTCAGTTTGCTACATCCACCTGTATAGCCATTGAAAGTGGGGAGATATGAAAGACCTGGCTAGCTGTTTTTGATCCATAGGTGTCTGAGTTTTATTTTTTGCCGTGTTTAAGTGGCATCATATTGAGGTTGGGTGTGTTGAGTGTTAGGTGTGGTGGTGAGGAGGGAAAATGTTCAATCGATGAGGTTGTGTGTAGCTTCATCAATTGAAAAAAAAGGCTATGACACACATGTGTTACACACGCCTAGTCATCCATCGTCGTTTCCTCGACGGTCAATGCTAACTGACCCTTGGATTGTATTGAAAGAGAGTTAGTAGTGGTCGCACCAAACACATGGAATCACTCCATGAAATCATTGAGAGAGAGAGAGTTAGTTTGAGTCAGTCACGTATGGAGGTGCAGACTATTGTCTGGTTGAGGAGGTCCTCGGGATTCTAAGAACCGATGGGTTGAGGCTGTTAGTGATATTAAGGTGGTTTGATATAGACAATGCTCTCCAACGGAATATTATTCCCACATATTCCTACAGCTCAATACTGCATTAGCAACAGAATACTATATGTGTATTTGAACATTCTATTTCATGTCGCTTGATGTAAACAGAAATCACACGTCCAATGATTGATTAAAGAATATTAAACTGTTGTATAGATATAAATAGCAGTTTGATCAATGGAAAATATCCCTTGGCTTCCGTGTCTTGCCTTCTGCTGTTACAATATGGTTCCAAATCGTTCTTGAAAATAGCACAGGAGACAGTGGAGCAGCGTTCCCATAGTTTCCAGTGACTGAAACTTATTCATACTCCATTTTATCTGTCCGGATTCTTGAGCCCATGTACGCTATAGATTTGGAATCAGGGTTTTCTATCTCTCCCTAAGCACACTTGCATCTGCACCAGTTCATTTGTAAGCTCCAGGCGTTTGCAATCAACCTTCATTTTTTGTGAGGAACAAAATCCAACTGCGTGACCGCAATGAATAGGACTTACCTGTCGGGGAGGCTCTGATGGCGTGTGATGACACTGAGAGCATTTCTAGAGGAAGACCGAAATATTTCTTCCTGTCGGCTGTACCATGTCGCTTTTTTTTGGGGGGGGGGAAGTAGTGGCTTGCCGATGATACATAACTATCGGATTGTCTCTGAGTATGTGGTAATGCCCGTGGCTAGGTGATATGGGTTCAAATCACTAAGAGGACATCATCAGTTCCACCAAGGTGTCAGATACGTCTTGCTGATGAGTATCTATAAACAAGGGAACCTAGATCGAAAGGCTTCGTGATCATTCATTGCCTTCCATTCTCTCTAACATTGTAGTGAATTGTCTGGAGTGGTGTTTAAGAAACAGGGAATTTCTCCTCTCTTTTTTTTTTCTTTCTATAACTGCTGACCTTAGTCCCCAGATTCATTTCCCAATGATCATGAATCGTTAAAACATCAATTTCTATTCGTTTATTAACGCCTATATCACTGTAACTGGATCATAGATCATGTTATCTGTCTGTCTGTTTTCGAGATAAAACTTTGCACATATGTGCGGCTGTTCAAGTCGCCACACTCCATGAAGCACACGAAGGAAGAGAAGAAAGTAGAAGAAATGCGTAATAGACACAGTAAACAGAGGTGTGAGACAAAGGAATAGTAATAACGAAGAACAAAACAGTTTCATTGGAAATCATAAGTCACAAGGAGTGGATGCATCTGCGCCAGCCATTGAGAACGATTTTGAGCCATGTCACCAATTGTTTCCAACCATTGGTGTTTACCGTCCCGAGGATCGCGACCAAGAAGTCTACACCTTCCTACGTGGCTTAAACTAACTGTTGTGGATTTCGTTGACTGATGAAGCCATGTTTCGGTTTGATCGCGGCTAGCTCTTTTCCAGCGTGACCCTATGTCGGCTAACATTGCATGTCGAGGAAGAAGATAGATGGCTAGGCATACTTAACACATGTCCTAACCATTTCAGTCGATGAAGCTACATAGCCTCGTCGATTGATTTCCCCTCCTTACCTAGCACTCGACGCCTCACCTCAATATTGCTCACCTTATTATACCACTTCACACGGGAGATAGAACACAGGCATGTATGATCAAAGACAGCTAATCTCTTCATGTCTTCCATTGTCAATGGTCATGTCTCACTCACAGTGATAAAGGAGGATGGAGTGGACTGATGAGCAGTACACACGCCCTTTGGTCGATAACCGGATATCACATCTACGCCAGATCTTGTTATCAGAATTATTTGCTTGATTGTGGCGAGCATTAAAATCCAGAATGCGCGTTTTACACCATTTTTGACCCGTCATCTGGATGCATTTGCATCTCCAGGGAGTGATTGCGTTCCCACTGAAACTCAAATCCAACACCTGTCGTTTCAAACGCCAAGGCGTCATCCACTAGACCACTTGGGCCATGAGAGCCATTTTTTTTGCAAAATGGTATCGACTATCTTTTATGTTAATCCTTAGACATCTTAGAAGCGTCCATTCTGGGAACTGACATATCAACAGAGACCGAATGTTTCGGTACGATTAAAATGACTTTATAACCAATTAGATGTCCTCTTCCCAACCTCACTTTGCTCTCTCTCTTAACTTCCAGTGTTGTACTAATTCCCTTTTTCCCTTTTGATTTCATTTTTCCCTGTTTCTTCCAGGCTCGTAGTCCATTGGAACAACTGGAGTTAATCATTAATCTTACAGGTAGTCCTAGTCCTGGTGATTTAGAAAGTTGTCATCCAGACGCCTGTTGTTTTGTTCTATCATCGAGACTACGTGATCCAAATCTGTCTATTCTGTATGCGCTAACACCTGATGTGAATGAGTTAACTGTTCATCTGTTGGGCAGTATGCTCAAATTCAATCCGGTAAGTTCTTTTTTTTCACTTTTTTTCTTGGGGTTTCTTTTCATCATTTCTTGAGTTTCAAAAGGAATTTAGGGCTTCGAGGTTTTTGACTGACTAGTAGCGGTGATATTGTAACAACAGAAGACAAGGACCAGGCAACAGATCGTTTATTAAGGAAAATCAACACATATTTATAGATTTTAATGAACATTATTGTTAGTAGAAAATACAGTCTTTTGATTGATTGTTTCTCACAGAAAGTTAACCTTGCATCTCTTTGTGGCTGTGTCAGATCATCCATATGCTAACTGTATCCGCCCGCCTACGCAAAGCCTTTGTTCTCATTTTCTCACCACCAATATTAGGGACATAAACATTGACGTCAATTACTGTCTACCAACTTTGGCTAGCAGCCAGCTCTCACCACAATATTGTTTCTACGGGATCCGGTTGTTAGCCTAACGATCAACCCTTCATCTATTCCGGCCTTTTACCATGTAGTAATTTAAGCGAGTTTTATAAGTAAGTCGGTGGGGAGTCGAAGCCAGACCACATATGTTGTCGGTGGGCGGCATCCTACCGTCGAACCATTGACAGAAAAATCTTCTCATTGAGAATAGTAACACATATCGTCAACAACTCAACAAGAGCACAAAAGACTCTGTAAGCTTCCGAGAAAGTATATCGCACACCAATCAGGGCACTCTATTCGAACTCATGCAGCCGTATATAAATAAGCTTACGGAGAGTTGTCATCTGAAGTGATAGTAACCAATGATGCCAGTCAGGAATGCCTACTGTCCCGATTTCTGTTTAATTTTATCATAGATATACTAATGCAGTTAACCCTAACTCACTACAGCGACTTATGGATTAATTTGTTAACAGGGAAACATCTTGGTAAATTAGAATATGGGGATGCTGTAGTCCTCCTAGGCAAAGACGTTGATAAAATACAGAGTCGTTTCTGAACACCATGATGAGCAGCAGTCTTCGAATTTTCGGCATTTGATTTGCTCCTGTCAAATGCTATAAGACTAAACCACATAGATTCCTTGCTTAAGGATAGGGAGTGAAGTGGTTGGTGGAGCGCGTTGACCACTTCACTTATTTAGGGAGTTGCATCAGCCCCAATGGGCTGGTTGTTGACGAAATATCAGCATGGATACATAAGGCGCCATCTCTAGCTTAGTAGACGTGATATCCTGCTGGCTGTCGACTAAAGGGCGTGTGTACTGCTCAACAGCAGTTCGCTCCGTCCTCCTTTATAGCTGTGAGCGAGCGAGCCAGACGTGGGCACTGAAAGTCTAAGATATGAGAAGGCTAGCTGTCTCTGACCATGTGTGTGTCGTATCTTCCATGTTAGACATTATAATAAATTGAGTAACATCGAGATTAGGCGAGCAAGTCAGTCGACGAGGTTGTGAAGCTACATTGATTGAGTGAGATGGTTAGGACATGTGTTACGTATGCCTGGCCATCGCCCTCCTCGAAGAGAAATGTTAGCTGACATAGGATGGATCAGGTTGAAAAAGAGAGAGCTAGTGGTGGTCAAACCGAAATATTTGGCTTCATCAGTCAATGAAATCCATAACAGTTGGTGATATGCCTCAAAATCGTTCTCAAATGGCTCGTGCAGATGCATTCACTGTCTGTGGTCTGACATATCCACATTAAACCCTTTTGTTTTTCCATGTTACTATTCTGTCTTCCTCATATTTCTTATTAGACCTCTTTTGCCTTCCTTTGTGTGTTACACAGAGTGTGACAACTCGAACTGCTGTACACTTCCGTGAAAAGCTCTATATTGAGACCAGTCAGTCAGTCGGTCATTATTTATCATGAAGTTAGCGACTGAATCAAAAAGTTTGCTGAGTATACCACCTTCTGGAGCCCATTCATCACTAGGCATATCTTAAATACCTTACAGAGTTTGATTATGTCACCGAGAAACCCATCAACAGACTTTCTGTCTGTCTGTTTTCGACATAGAACTTTGCACCGATGTGCAGCAGTTCGAGTCACCAGACTCCATGTAGCACACAAAGGAAGGGGAGAAAGTAGAAGGAATGGATAGTATAGACAGTAAACAGAGGTGTGAGACAAAGGAGTAGTAATAACGAAGAACAATATAGTTTCATTGGGTATTATAAGTCACAAGGAGTGGATGCATCTGCACCAGCGATCAATGAGAACGATTTTGAGCCATATCAACAATTGTCTCCAGCATCAGTTGGTTTTTATCGTCCCGAGGATCCCAACCAGGAAGTCTACACCTTCCTACGTGGCTTAAACTAACCGTTGTAGATTTCATTGACTGGTGCCATGTTTTGGTTTGACCACCGCTAGCTCTTTTCCAGCCTGACCCTATGTCAGCTAACATTGCCCGTTGTCGAGGGAGGCGATGGATGGCTAGACATACGTAACACATGTCTTAACCATCTCAATCGATGTAGCTTCACAACTTCGTCGATTGATTTCCCTACTCACCTAGCACTTGACGCCTAACCTCAATATTGCTCACCTTATTATACCATTTCACACGGGAGATAGAACGCAGACACCTATGATCAAAGACAGCTAGCAAGGCTTTTCATGTCTTCCACTCTCAATGGCCAGGTCTCACTCACAGGCATAAAGGAGGACGGCAAGTACTGCTGCTGAGCAGTACACACGCCCTTTGTTCGACAGCCAGCCAGACATCACGTCTACTAAACCAGAGACGGCATAAAATGGTATATGCGAAACGAGCCTCCTGTATCCGTGCTGAGATTTCGTCAGAGATTAACCCGTTGGTGCTGGCTGATACAACTTCCCAAATAAGTGAAGTGGTCAACACGCTCCACCAACCACTTCACTCCCTATTTCTAAACTAGGAGTCAGTGTAGTCCAGTCCTGTAACATCATCTTACATTTGGCGCTAGCGAATCGCATACCAAACATTCTCAAATTGCAGCTCAAGGTGTTCAGAAGACTGTGCATTTTGTCAGCGTCTTCCCCTAGAAGGACTATATCATCTGCATATTCTAAGTTAACGAGATTATTCCCTGGTGGTAACAAGTCAATCCCTGAGTCTCTGAAGTGAGTTAGGGTCCGTTAGTCCGTTAGTAAATCTATAATGAAATTGAATGGAATTGGGGATATAATGGGCATCCCTTCCTGGTGGACACCACTAGTTGTCACCACTTCAGATGACAACTCGCCGTAAGCCCTCACAGGCCTAAATGCATGAGATCGAGTAGAGTGCCTTGATCAATGCAATGTATTTCCTCGTCATTCCTTTCACAGCCAAACATCGCCGTAGACTGTGGCAAATACAGTTCTAGTTACTGGCATTCGATGTCTTGAAAGACGACAGCACTTAGTACAGCACGCTTATTGTATAAAGGATGATACAAATTCAGAGAGAAGATTCATGCGTTCTTCTTTAGATGCCATTGTTTTCTCATCTCATAACTCTGTTTACTATTCTAATAGTTTATTATTATCATTATTATTTTTCTCCATCATTTTTCCATTAACTAACTCAGACACAGAGAGAGAGAGAGGCAAATGAGACATACCAGCCGGTATTATTTTTATTATTTTGTTATTTTTTTTCAAAATTCTCCTTAAACCAGGACAAATTTTCCAAATATATATACGTTGTATTTTCCCAGCATAAACGGGATTGAGGACGCAAGTTGTAGTAGTAGTAGTAGTGTGATGATGCATAGACAGACAATTGACGATAGCACCGATACACATATACCGGTTTACTCTACTACGTTTGTTCTATCGATCCAGCATTGCATTGCATTGCATTGCCGAGTGAATGACGCATTTGTAGACACAGGTTATACTGTACATACGATGATAGACATACACACACACGCCTGTCTAGGTCTCAATCTATTTTTGTCTTTATTATTATCCAGAATCTAACATCCGATTGGTTGAAAAGCGAACATAGAGAGTGAACAATAACACACACACACGCACGCACACGAACACACATACATAGCATACATTGCAAGATGGTTGATAATGATGGTGGTTAAATGTCATGAGCCTAGTCTGATGCTGATGTTGATGATGATGCAGTTGTGTCCAAATTTCAGTTTAATCAACTGATGTATTTAAAAGCGGTAATTGTAATGCGGACAGATTAAGCTGTAGGATAAGATTTTCCTTCCTCTCTCTCTCTTCTTCTTTCATGCATCAAACGTAAATATATTTGCTGAAAGCTTCTTTTACTGGCGTTGGGGAATGGATGAATGAATGAATCACGACTGTGCTTTGTCTACAATGGCCTGTATTATAAGTATTTCGGAGAAGTTAAAAAATATTGAACTGAGGGCACAAGTGCTTTAAAAACGGTCGAATTGAGATTACTTAGGTAACAGTGCATCATCAGGTGGCGGCGCCATTTAAGGAATGTGAGAGTATATCATCATGAGTCGACATTGGTTAGAGAACCATTGGAAAACCAACTGGGAGTACTGGATAGCTGTTTCGTCCTTGTTTGGGACTCTTCACCAGTACGCACCAACCCAACTGGGTTCGAACCCAGGACCTTCTGGTTACAAGGCGAGCTTGTAAATCATTAAGCCACTTGGACTCGATTCATTGGCCAGCCGATGAATTCTAACTTCTGCCAATGGCAGCTCATGATGAAATCCTGTAACCAATCAACCAAATCATCCGTACAAACCAATACTTGAATATCAATGTGAGATGCTTATTGGCGACTGGCTCTATTCAGGTAGGCAGTTACCTGGGCTGGTTCTAGTGGGAAGTCGTAACCAGTAGGGTGCAGCAGGTCAGGCGTGAGGACAAATACTGGCCGAAGACATTGGCTAGTGCCAGTCGCGCTATATCGTGAATTGGCAGAAGTTAGAATTCATGCACTGGCCATTGGATCGGGTCCCAGTGGCTTAGTGGTCTACGAGTTAGCTTCCCTTTAACCAGAAGGTCCTGGGTTTGAACCCCCCATGGGTGGGTACTGATGAAGAGTCCCAAACTGTCCAGTACTCCTAGGT